ACGCATTGCAGATTTGATACAAACTCTGTCAGAAGGTGTCATCGCAAGATATAGGGCACTGTTGTGGTCATGCATTCAAAACCAAGCAAAACAATCCCTGTTTGTCAACAACTAAACCTCATGGCGATACTCCATGGTGCGTTCCCGACCTTCCAAAGCTTATTCCTCGAAGATGCCCCATATCTTGCCGTAGCGCTCTATGGCAACCTATGCAATATGACTATTAATACGAATATCCAAAGAGATTGACTGAAACGGAACAGGGCCTGGAATTCATTAACAAATACGGGTCCCATGATAAAACACCCCCTCCTCTCCAGAATCACGTTGTTGAATAGTCAGGGTGGAGGAAAAAACACTGCAAGTGTTCTCACTTTTAGCCTCAACGATGTTCCTGCCCCCCCCCCCCCCTCCGCACCCACGATATAGCTCTTCACGTGTCCCTTTTTGCGCACGATACGGATGCACGGATGCAGACACAGTAACAGTGCAAAAATGATAAGCGAAAGGGCATTCTCATCACGAGTATTACAACATAAATACTTCCAACTGGGAAACAGGCTAAGACCCAACCTTACCATCTGTTTAACCACCAATCTGTTAGATTGAAGAGTAACTGCACAGTGAACACCACAAAAAGAAGCGGTGGAATAAGAAACATATTGGAACACATCGCTTGTATATAAGCACCATATATTCTCCAAGAAACAGCCCCTAAATATCAGGTAAAATGAGAAACGAAGAGAGGTTCATAGAGCAAACTTTAAGAAGTCCCTTCAAAGTGAAACACTTGCCTGCCACCTTATCTTCCTCGATGATTTCAGGGACATAGTCAGCCTTCTCAATCACCTCTTTTTCGTCCTTTTCACTTATGCAGCTGGTAGATCGTTCGAACGTAGCACTGTCTGCAACAGAAGCAAATCTTAGACGTAGCACAGCAACTTACAAGGAAAGCGAGGAAGCGCTAGGCAAAATTCAAATGCGCATATTTCGAGTCAAACACAACGTTTTTGCTTGCGGTAAAATCCATTACATTCCACCCTCGCTTGCTAACAAAAACTGCGTCTGGAAAATCCGTTAGCTAAGCGTACTGGAGTTGTAGAGGTTGTGAACTCGGCGGAAGTCATTTCCTCGCCATCTTAGCATTTCTCTTCAAAGAGGCTATCTCAACGGTTGAGAAGTAGCAGTGAATAGGTATGAGGTCTAGCAAGAAAAACATGTGTGTGGTTTAGTAGCCCGAGTAGTTCATTTTTAGCAGGTATTTTTGGTTCCGCGGCCAATGGACCGAGGTACCCGGCAAACAAGAGTCGGCCTATTTATGACGGCCCTTGCTGGGCGTTGTGCTGTGTCAAGTTTTTAAGGGTATTTTGACATCTTGCTCAGAATACTGTCCCTTTACAACAGTTCCACCTGGACTGCGGCAGTGCGCCGTGCCGTATAGCGCCTAATAGGCAGCACAACGTTCTCCTCGGTATTTTCACCTTTGCGAAGTCCTGCTGACCTCAGTCATGATCGAACTACTCAGTCGAGGTTCATAGGTTGCTGCGAAGAATTCAATTCTACATTGAGCATCGAGAATCCCAAAAAGCGGGTCGTTAATTGGATAAGGAAGGTGAAAGAAGGTCAGATGGCTCTCCAGAGCCTCGTCTTCCACGACACCCCTTATGGAATTTACCGGAGTTCAACCTACTCTATATGACTTGGAACCATAAATCATTTACGCCTAATCCCGTAGTGGCCTTCTCAACAGTTTTAAGACGTTTCATTCCATCAAATTTTTTTCAACTAATTTTTACCAACGTATGATGCCCCACATCCTTCGAGCCTCTCCCCATCCCTACATAGGTTTTTTTCCAAACTATAGCTTCAGAGTACATTTCTCGTAACTGCGGAAACAAACGGAAATTCGTATCATAACCGGATTCCGCTCGTTTGCGCCCTGAATCGAGTAGGAGATTTGAATCGGGCGGATTTGCTCGGTGAACACGACTTTGAGAAACAGAGGTAGTGGTCATTTAAGAGCAAAGAATAGAGCATGAATGGAATGGATAGAGCAAAAACGCGCTTTTCTAGTGATATGCAAATTATAGCAGCCTGCCGTAAGTTTAGCTGGAACCAATGCATCGAACCTAAGCTCTCAAAAACGGCAAGTTCTTTCCTTACAACCTAAACAGTGCGTACCAAAAGTATGTGGACACCCTGGAATCGATTCTCAGGGGTCAGCTAAAGGCTTTTTGTGTCATGAAACCTTCACCATTCAACTCCTAGTGGTCGATAACCTACAATGACATTTTCGGCAAAAGATTTCGTTCTAACTTAGCGAAACTTTTTCATGGAATTTTTCTTTGTATCAAAATTATGTGGACACCCTGAGGCAGATGAAGTTTTTGCATCGATTTCCTAACCTATTTTTACTTCTCCTTTCGTTACTTATTCTGCCATCATTGCCTCTTCACGGCAAGCATATTTTCTAAAAAGAACAAACACATTAGGACTTGTCATATCGCTGAAGCCTCCAACCGGAAAATCCCACGTCATCCCGGTCGAGCGTCCGTCCATGTTGGAAGCCAGAATCCGCAAAATCGAAATTTCCACTCAAAAAAAGGCACATCATGGAGACATTGAATTGAACAGAAAAACACATCACTTTTGTAAAAACTGTATGATTCGAATAAAAAACACTCGGAAATTCTTCTCTCAGGAAACCTACATTTACGAGATGGAGCTCAAAGGAATCTTCCACGGAAAAAGCTCCGCCTCCATTACCACAGAAAACGATACCTTAGGCCCCTAGCCTCATGAGCATAGCAAAAAGAACGGAACATAAGCGTTAGTTTCGATAATACTAATCCTACACACAAGGTAAAATGATCACTCTTTCCGTGGAAGATTTTTAAGGTATCGTTTTCTGTGCTAGTGAGGGCGGAGCTTTTCCCGTGGAAGATTCCTTTAAGGTATTCTTTTCTGTGGTAATGGAGGCGGAGCT